GTGTAATTTCGGTGATCAACTTCATGTGCAACTGAGAGATCGATTAATTGCAGGAATTAACATACCGAGTTTGGAAAGAGAGTTGTTAAGAATGCCAAACTGTTCCTTTCAAGATGCTAGAACTGCATGTATTAACTACGAAGCAGTCAATGAACTTGATATCCAGTCGATGAAGATTTCTAATACTTTGCTTAGTCGTCATGATGAACTACAATCTCAGGGTCAATCAAACTTGCGTTCATTTAATAGTGATTCCTCGTGTAAATATGAAAGGTGTTTCAACAAGGAATTACAAAGCAAATCACGAGGGTGAGATGAAGTTTGATAAATGTTTATCATGTGGAAAGTTTCATTCTCGTAATTCATGCGCATCTCGTAGTGCTAAATGTTTTAAATGTGGTAAGATAGGACACATTCAGTCAGTATGCAAAGCTACTGTCCATTTTGCTTCAAGCTGTACTAAATCTTGTAATTTAAATTTCAATAATTCGGATGTTTCTAGTGATCAGTTATCTTTGTCTACTGTTTCAAAAAGTAATGCTCATATTGAAAAGCGACTATATACATCGCTTGGTTCATTTCATGACTTTATTCTGGACACAGGCAGTATAGAGTCCATTATATCATTCAAGAACTTGAAAGCTTTAGATCCTAACGTTGTTGTACGACTCACTGAAGTATCAATACTGGGGATTACTGGACACAGACTGCCCATACGAGGATGTTGTGAATTGCTAATCAGAGATGATAATTCTTCATACATACCTTGTGAATTTTTAGTTAGAGAAACAGGACTGTCAATATTAGGTTTAAAGAATTTGAAAAGGCTTAAAGTGGAGTTGTCCTTCCTAGTTTCTAAAGAAAATTCTGATACTTTACTTAAAGATTTGATAGCTATGTGTGCCAAGTGCAGTGGAGGTATAAAAATCCAGCCTATAAAACTTCAAGTACAGGGTGGTCCAGTCTTTCTTAAAAGACGAATAATTCCTTATGGTCTTCGAGAAGCAGTACATAAGACATTAAATGATTTGTGTGCGAAAGGCACAATTGAACAAATTCAGTCTTCAGCATGGGGTACTCCTATCGTTACGCCACTGAAGTCGGACGGCGAGACCCCTAGAATTTGTGGTGACTATAGATTAACTCTGAACTCCCTTTTGTTGAAGCAAACGTGCACGACGGTAGAGGCTGAAGATGTTCTAAATCGACTTCGTGGTTCCAAAGTGTTCTCGAAAGTTGACCTAAAAATGCTTATCTTCAAATTCCTTTAGATGAATCTTCATCTATTTTGACGACAATTAACACTCCTTTTGGTCTGTTCAGATACAATTTCCTTCCATTTGGTCTAAGTTGTTCTCCAGCCATATTTCAGGAAGTTATGAATAAAGTAGTTAGTGATCTTGAAGGTGTTGAAGTTTATCAAGATGATCTCATTGTTCATGGTTTTAATAAGGTAGTTCATGACCAGAGACTTATTGCTTTATTGCGTCGTTTATTTGAGAAGAATATTACAGTGAATCCAAATAAGTGTTTATTTTGTGTATCTAGTTTTGAATGCCTTGGATACCTAGTTGATGGTAATGGTTTTAGACCAGATATGAAACGACTAGCTCCACTGACTAATGCACCGTCTCCGAAAAATCTTACAGAATTACGTTCACTAGTGGGTGCTCTTCAATACTATTCCCGTTTTATTCCTAATTTTTCTTGTCGTGCAAATTGTTTATTTAATATTTTAACATCCAATTCATTCAAATGGAGTGAGGAACAAGAGTTATGCTTACGAAGTCTACTGAAGTTTCTTCAAAGTGATGCGGTTCTTCGAACGTACTCCCCTAATGTACATTCTGTGCTTATTACTGATGCATCACCTGTGGGAATTGGTGCAGTTTTGGAACAGGATGGTAGACCAGTTATTTATGTTTCACGCAAACTTACTGTTACTGAACAAGGTTATTCACAGACTCAGCGAGAAGCATTAGCTGTGTTTTGGGCTGTTAAAAGACTTCATAAATATTTATTCGGAAAGAAATTCACTATTGTTACTGATCATGAAGCTTTAAAGTTTATTTATCATCCCGAAAAATCTTTAGCACGTTCCTCAGCAGCTATGGTTCAGCGATGGAGTATTGCTTTGAGTGCATATGACTATACGGTTCAGCACAGAAGTGCCAAACAGATTCAACATGTTGATTACATTTCTCGACAGTCATTACAAGATAAACCTATTAATACTTCGGATTGTTTGTTAGTACAACCTTTACCAGTGAGACGTTCAGATCTCATTAGAGAAACTCGCAGATATTTTGGATGTATACTCAGTGCTATAAGGAAAGGTTGGAATGCTAATTTGAAACGGAGATTTCCTATCTATTTTTCAAAGCGGGATGAGTTATCTACTACTCCTGATGGTATTCTGTGTCTAAATGATCGTGTTGTCATTCCTCCTTCATTGCGTAAATCTGTTCTTGAAGATCTTCATAGTGGTCATTTAGGTGTTGAGAAAATGAAGTCCTTGGCAAGGCTCACATGCTGGTGGCCAGAGATAAATGCAGATATATGTCGTACTGCAAACAATTGTGAGAAATGTCATCAGTTGAAAAATCATCCTTCGAAGTGGGTGCCATGGCCAGTATCGTCCGAGGCCTAGCAGAGGATTTATGCTGACTATTGTGGACCATTTCTTGGTAAATACTACGCACTAGTAGTCATTGATTCTTTTTCAAAGTGGCCCGAAGTTTTGTTTTTACAACTTCACCAAATTCTGATTTCACAATACAAGCATTAAGAAAGGTGTTTAGTCGAGAAGGTGTTCCCATGGTGTTGGTGACTGATAATGGCTCACATTTTGCTGCAGATGCAGTCACTACCTGGTTGAACGGTACAGGATGCGAACATCTGTTTACTGCTCCCAGACATCCGCGTTCTAATGATCAGGCTGAGAATTTTGTCAGGACATTAAAGACTGCTATTGATTCTATAGCCCCCTCAACATTTAATGAGCTGGAGAGGGGAGTAGATACCTTTCTATTGCAATATAGAAATGCCAGACATTCGGTGACGAAGGAGACTTCAGCGAAGCTATTGAAAGGAAGGATTCTTCGGTCGAATATGAGATGTTTGGAGTCTGCAGAAGTTACATACTATCCGGAAATGATCTTCGACCATCTACGGGTATTGTTCTGAAGGATGTCGGAAAATCGGTGGTGCGAATTCTAGACATCAATGACTCAAGTACACACAGTCGACATGTTGATCAAATACAATTTCAGGAGCCAGGTGAGTCAGTTCCAATTTCGATTGTTAATTCTAATGCTAATGAGCATATTCTAGATGATACAGAATACTTTTCCAATACAATGTCAGACAGACTGAGGATGAATTTGAGAAGAAGACGTACGATTGATTACAAGCACCTATACTCCAATTTAAGCTGTGGCGGATGTGGTGTTTGAACGAACTAATGATACTTTTGTACTTGTTGATTGCACGATTTCGAATTCCAAATACAGTACATTCGTTTGTGCTTGTGTCCTCTTTATTTAATTGCGTTATTTCTTGGACTCTTAGTTCGTGCTATAATTCAAATAATTCGAAACATTACAGGAGTATCTTTAGGAGGACAAATTTCCAAGTGTACAGGCTTAGTTGGATGTGTGTTGTCACACGACTCACATTTTAGTACATTACTGAGCAAACAGCTGGGATTAGTCATGTCGTTATGGTTTTTGGTGTCAGTTGGGGTCCGTATCTTATCCAAAGGTTTCTGATCTGCAGACTCATCTAGATTAACAGAGTGATCAGCCGTATATGGAGTGGTGTCATGCTTATTGTTCGTGTGTTTTAAACTATTTGCTGTGTTGCAAACTGTCTCTGGCTGATTATTAACTGTAACACTTCCATTCAATTCTTTCGCTTCACGTCTTCTTACACGACATTGGCAGGGCGTAAGGTCTGGAGTGACTTATATTCTTGTATGGAATTAGTGAGCTAATATTCTTGCTCGAATCAATAAACTGCTTAGCACCGCTACAACAGCCAAACATAAACAGGAGGGGGCAAGTTGATCTGTCCGACTTTTTTCTAAGGCGGATGACTTTGAAGTTAACGTTCGGCATACCGCATGCTCTAAGGCAAATATCCCTTAACTTAGATGGGTGTGTGCGATCGGGGAGGTTATACACAACTGCATTGAAGGAGGACATCACCCTTTTCGTCACTTCTTCAACCACAAACTCCCAAATGCACTCGGCTTTAGTGAGTTGCTCAAGATTCCTGTCTGTGTCGAGGCCCCATATATGAGTGCGGGGTGCCGGTTGCTCAAATTTGCTGTTAATTTCGGATAGAGAGTTTTGTAGCTGTCGGATGTCACTACTATATCTATCAGTATTTCGGTGTGTATGAGATGGACCACTGGACTCTTTAGTTCCTAAAATTTTAAATTTAGGCCTTGGTAGAACACACTGTCTAGTAGACGGTGCTGGGCTTTCGATGCACGTCGGTATGGTGTCTTGTATGTCAACCAGTCTTACCGTTGGCATACTGCACGTAGAGATAGAGGGGCTGTGACATGGAGAATCCGGTGATGATAGAGACATTTGTGTACAATACACATATTGTTCAGTAGCTAAATGTTCGACATTGTCAGGCACTGAGTCGTCAGTTATAAGGGATACAGATTTGGACCTTTTATTTGGCTTACAAGTCAGTGAAATTTCTCTTTTACTGGAGTTATTGGCCATGATTTGAAGATGGGTGAGCATAGTGCTCGTTAAATTAAATATAATATCTGGGTATTAGTTATTATTAAGTATTAACCTGGGTAATACTAGGATTAGAGACTATGAGTATATAATAAATTGTAGATTTATTTAAGACTTAAGTCCGAAATAGGTACAATACGAACTGGTAATTGTCCGATGTACAGGACAGGATGATAATCACAGTATAATACACCCTACAAAAGAGCAAGTCGAAGAATTCCTAAACCATGTGAAAAAATGTCACCACTTTCAGTTTTCCCAACTGATGAGCGATCATATTTAACTCGGAACGAGCTCGATAAGGAAATCCGAGATGAAGTTGAAGCACATTCTGGTAGAATTACACTTACAGAACTAGCATCAAATCTTGATGTGGATTTCGATATCATTGAATCAAGAGTCACTGAATTGATAACCTTAGATGCACAAAACAAATCGCCTTGTCGTTTGATCAGTATACCCAGTGAAGTTGTCAACAGTTCATATGTTCGACGCGTAGCTCATGAAATACTTGATCGACTAGAAGAGCATGGCCAGACTAGTATTGGTGAACTAACTGTCATCTTTAATCTGCCTACAACATTCTTATCGAGTATTATGCAAGAGTATCAAAGTACTTTATTTCATGTACATAAATATGGTGAGAAGTACTTTACAGATACTTTCCTTAATGCTACTAAGGCGAAAATTCGAGGTTATTTTACAGGTGTTATCCGTCCTGTTACTTTAAGTTCAGTTGCTTCAAAGCTTCAAGTTCCTGAAAATTTAATTAATAGTATTGTCTCTAGTCTTATCAGTACTGGTCGATTGTATGGTAATCTGATTGCCGGTCGTAGTGGCTTCGTTCCAAAATGTTATACTTATGCTGAGGATACATACATCAATTCATTTTACTCTCAGAATGGATATATTGAATGGAACTATTTAAAGCGATTGAATATTCCTGATCCAGGTTCATATTTAAAGACTAAGCTTCCGAATGCTATGCATCTACCAGGTCTTACGGTTAACACATTAATAGTTGATCAGTTAAAATCTCTCATTTCAGGTGTAATCCGCGACGTATCTTGGATAGACCTATCCCATTATATTCCAAATGGATTAGATTCAGGCATTGATGGTGAGGACGATGATTAAGATCCACTTATGTTTGTGGGACAGAACATTTTGTTTATTTTAGGTGTTTTTCGATTGGGAACAAGACAACTAGTTGGCGGTACCTAGGTTGTTCCTCTAATCTCGCTACTCGGAAGCATGTTTCCAGTTTTACGTTGAATTTTCTATACTACTAAGTCGTCCTATAACTCACTTTGACATATGACCTTTTGGCTGCCACTAGATGAAAAAATCAGAACAATGAAGTAAAGGAGCATATACTGAAAGATATAGTTTTTAGCGGTTCCTAACATTTTACTGTCTTTTTATGTATTTGCCATTCTAATAAAAAATCTTCCTTAACCTAACTTCAACTTTTCCTTCATTATTAAAACCCATTCCACCTTGATATACACCACACTCATTGTTCGTTATTTCTATATCCTCTTGTCCAAAGATTTGTTGAATCCAATTCACTGGAATAATGGCAGCTGGTATGAGTTTTATCTACTAATTTATTCCACTTTTGTCTGTTCCACTACAAGCTGTTATGCATTGTCTGGGGTTTTTATACAAATGCCTTGCTGATTCTTGGTTTTTCCTTTTTTCAGCACCACGTTTGCAGTGCAGAGCCATGGATCTTCTTCTTACGCCTGAAGCAAACCTAGCATACGCATTCTTCAGGATCCCAACTTATATCAAGTGTCCTTTAATATCTACTTTGTAACAACCATAAACTTTATAAACAGTTGCATTCTATAAATACTAAACAGAACCATAATTCTTATACACGAATGCCGAGTTTGGATCTGGTGTGCGTTTGCCAAGATCACAATCTGGATGAGTTGCCGCTTTGGAACAGAGCATAAAGACGGCAAACTTGTAGAGGTGTTGATTCCTAACCACACGATCTTTGAAGCTGAGTATATAATTACCGAGATTTACGTTCAACATATAACACTTATGAGTCAAAAATGGTGGACGCAAGAGCAGTTGTTCGGAATGGTATAGCTCAGTTTTGCAGGCGTGATCATTCTGTGTTAGTAATCTTTAATCACGTCGAATAGATTATTTTATTTCCAGCCTAAATGTGTCCCTCAGAAATGCTATACATCATTTTGCTGATTGTCACGATACGACGAGACGGTGTAGACAGCTATGCGACTTCCATATAAGATATTATAGATGAGGTAGTCACATCATGACGAATCTACAGTTTTGTGATCAGGTCTGTTATTATAGTGGCAAAGACGGATGTACCGAACTAGACCATAATCCTACAAACCCACAGTGAAGAATTGTCTCGTAGGCGTAATTATGAACTCGGTGCAATATTTTCACGAGTTTCCCGACATCTATTTTCATTGATTTCATTTTTAAAACAACCATACTTGCGGTTGTAAAGTTAAAGGTGACTATCAGGTCGTGGATGTGTGGCGAGGTGTCAATCCAAAGTGGTTTTCGTACTAAGTCGCTGTTAATAGCGAGTTGGACGACAATCCTTGTTGTCCTTTTCAGGGACCATGTACAAAGGAGATACCCATGAACGGTTCGACGACCGAATAGATACCAAGTCTGTTGTGCGCTGGGATTCGTTTTTGGCTAATCTTATTCAAGTATGAGATGGATATGTTGGAACGAATCCAACAACGAGGTATGAAAATGCAAGGACATCGCTCTGGTCTATCTCATGAATTTTGATCAAGATCATGAACCAGTCGATGTTAGACCACCATTGAGAACCCTGAAGTAGCGGACGGCTGTTTCGTCCTGTTGTGAGACTCATCAACAATGTGCATCCACGATCCCGCTCTTGGGTTTGGAAACCAGGGCGTTGGGTCCCGCGCGCGAACCCTTGACATCTAAACCACTGAGCCGGCATCTAACGGTGTTAATGTCTAAACTCAGCCAATCCACGAAATCTCACGACCATCTTCCATTGTTCTGAGGTAGATACCTCTTTCTACCCGACGCGGATCAGCTAATGAAGACAAACTTCTACCGGAATGGCCTAATATTGGATTATCATATACCGAACGATGACCTTCGTATTAATATTCCCTATCTTTTCCCTTCATCTAGGACTGATAGTCAGAAAGGATACTCTAAGAAGGTACAAAAACCGAGATCAGATCGTCTACGTCTGAATTTCCGCTTTTCCCAATGAGCAATGAATTAGCCACCAGAACACGTAATATCGTCACATTCCGTCAATATATTCAACACGAGACTGGACCACTACGATGTAACAAACTGCAAGGGTTATTATAAGTTGATAAACATCCCATCCCTACTACTAAAGACTGTGAATTGTTAATTGAAGACAGTTACGTAGCCTGCATTTCCGGTTTCGGGGCGGGTGTTTCGTTACGGTTGTTGCGTAGGAAATGGGTCGCAAGAAGAGGAAGCAACTGAAGCCATGGTGTTGGTATGTGAGATTCGAAACACTGATAATCCCTAGGTATTGCAATCGGGAGTTTGACGACGAGAAGATTCTAATCCAACATCAAAAGGCAAAACACTTCAAATGTCCTTATTGTCACAGAAAATTGTTCACCGGTCCTGGTTTGTCGATTCATTGCAATCAAGTAAGTCACGACATTCGTCAATATTCAAAACATCAGGTTCACAAAGAGAAGCTGGATAAGATTCCTAATGCCTTGCCAAACAGAACAAGCACTGTCATTGATATATACGGCATGTCCGGTATTCCGGAAGTAGATATGATCGAACATGAAAGACAGAAATTTGGGTTAGAAGGTGAAGACGAACCACCAGAGAAAATAGCCAAAGAAGATGAAAGTGCCCCGTTTTACCCACCACCGCCTATCCACCCTGCACTGCCTTTCATGCAGACCTTGTGTCCACCTATAGCACCTTTCGGACATATTGGACGTAAGTTAAAATTGATTCTAAATCCGAGTATCTAGTTCACTCCCTACCTCCACATTTGAAGTAAGTTTTGTTAACCCTGAATGATTTGTGTAGTTCAGTACACTATGTACCACCACCACCGCCTCCTCCTCCTCCTGCAGCTCCCGCTCCTCCTCAGCCATCTACTCCAAATGACGAGAAGGTAAGTTTACTTTGAGTTTTATTGTACAGTCCCCTACAACTACTCCGAAGGCTACTTTTCCTGCCTATTCATCTCCATCGTCTAACGTGAAAGCCAACGTGTCCAAAGTCCCGAAGCCCACGTCTGGAGTTAATGGAGTAATCATCGAGTTAATTCATCCCGATGAAGACTTGTCCCTAGTGAGTTTGATTTTTTTTACTTCATCTAATAAACTCAGGAGGAATTAAGAGCTGAGTTGCCGCGATACAAAACTATTGTTGAGAATGCAGCAAAAAAGATTATACCTCCTCCTATTCCTATAACTCTGGGACTAACGACTCCAAGTTTCATACCTCCACAGCCCACACAGATTGTGTATCCTCCAATTGTGCCTACAGCCTCCGTCCAGATGCCGTTTGCTTACGCACCTGGATTTATCCCTCCGCCTGGTAGGTGGTGTGCATAAAGTATTTTTGGTGTAGTTTTTCTTAACATTGATGCACAACATTCGTGTCGTATTAAAATGTAACTAGTGGCTCTTCTTCAAAGATTTGTAAATTGTTAATTAATGTGGGTGTCTTTTAAAATATGAGGATTCGAACCTGTGAGCATACCTTAAATTTCATTGATTACCCTTACATTGACAAAACCTAATTTATGAGCCTTCGTGTAATATCGAAGTCATTTTACATCAATGTCAGTGGAATTATTAGTATAATTCTATCTACCGGCTGAAACTATCAACCCGTTCCACACTTTTTAACTTCACCATAACAGCGAATTTGAGTGATAAGAGGGTTGACTAAATGCAGTTATGGTTAATTTTATGGCATCGTTCATTGGTTTTAATTGTCTTTGAGATTAGTTCCCCCAGTGGAGGTCGGAAATTTTTCCTTGTGTAAAATATTGATCCACCTACATGGATTCCGTCTCACATGACAAAAGGAGACGCATCACTACTTCATATCGAGGTAAAACTTGACTATTGTCTTCCGTGCAATACGATTTAATCCCCACATAAACTTACGTAGTATCACTATCCTTCAAAACGGGACATTAGTCCATTAAGACTGACAATTTAAATCAGGTAGACAAGTGCAGAGTTCATATTTGGAATGGGCATGAATATCGCAATCAACGGTTACAGGCATGGCTTAAAAACAGGCAAAAAAGCATCTCTGTATTACCTCAGGTTTTTAGTTACGACAGTCTTCGGGAACTTAACTAGATTATACTTTCTCAAATCATACTCTCGATGCCCAGTCTCGTCGATTACGTTATCTACTCTTAGATTTCGCATAAGTTTCATCCCATTGTTGATAAAATGTATAATTCACGACAATTACATGTAGATATGTCTTGTATTCACGTAATTTCTGTTTAAAATTTCAAAGTACTCAGTGTCTTGATAATTCTCACATAATGAGCATAAACTCACTACGACCTGAAATTCACTATTAATTTTAACCAGTCTTAAAACTACCGTGTTTTCTTCTGACTTACAGCTTTCGGCTTGCCGACGATGCAACCTCAAATCGCGCCTGCTCCAGGTCAACTTACACCCTGGGCTGGAATGCCACAGTTACGGTTCTAACGCAAGTCAGTCGTTCGTACGTTTATCCAAAGCTTGTGATCTGAACTTTAACTGATCATGTGTTGTACATTTAACTTTAACTATGTTAATCGTAAACAAACTTACTTTGCGTTTCTTGTTTTCTTTTAAAGTGTGCTGGAAACAATGTAAGTCAAACTAATGAAATATATCTGGTAGGTCATTATTTTAAACAGCTCAGTATAATGTGATCGCCGATGTACACTGGTTCCTCGGTGAAAAAAATTCTGTTTTGGATAGAAAGGTGAGCGGTGCTTTTACGATTAAATATAGGAAAATATCCAGATACTTAAAGGTCAGCACAGTATATCGCACATTACACGAGTACTTCACGTAGTTCAGATGGATCATAAAACCCAGTGCATCCACACCTTGATGCTTAAAGGTAGGTTTTTGTCATAGGGAATAGGGGTAAGTAGCATTGTTTTATTTCATTGTCATGTGGGTAAAGGCATGTTGCCGCATAGATTGAGAAGTCAAACTACAGCAAGGTTCGCAGGTCAGCATGTTTTTATTTGTGAGCTGATCTACACAGCTTATCATAGGCAATAGTTCACACGTTCAACCTGTCAAATTTAGGGTAAAATAACGATTGTTCGAAATGTACCAAAATTCCCGACATTAAGAAAATAAACAGTAAAGGCTTTGGTATTGAATATTGGTTACTAAGCAAGAGAGTCTAAGCAGTCCATTGTGTCGTGTTAACCAAGATAGTATCTCGTCCGTTACGAAAGTAGTCTTCACGATCGTCGCAAGTCAGTGACTACTGTCCCTAAGTGATATGACGGCAGTAAGGTGTTTTCCTCAGGCAACCAGCGTAATAACCGATGCTAGCTTTTCTCGGAGGGCGGATGTGCTTACCTCGCCTATCTGACGGATTCCCGTCTCCAAGGGTAAGGTCTCAACTTGTGCGGAGGTTGTGTGGCCGGCCTTATAAAGTTGCTCCCTGAGTACTGCGGTCACGCCGTCGGGTGACTAGAACCAACTCTAACCCAATTTTGTTTTTAGGTACATGCAGAGGAGCTTTTAGACGGTATGAGAATCGTGAAATGATAACCGCCTCGTTATCTAACAGCACTCAAGATTATCGAAGTGCACTCTTTGGACATATTGCATTCCTAAATCTAGTCAGTCTTTCCACACCTGGGATTTGATTTACAATGCTTCGCCTTTGATCAGTTTGCTTATAGGGATTTACTAGCTAAAATTTACGGAGTCCTGTCGCTTGTGTTTCACTACCTTCATTGTTTCTGACTCAGTGTCGTAACATACAGTTAGCGGGCGGTGAAACAATATTTATTCGGCGTCAATCGGTCTAGTTGTTAGTTCATGACGTAAAACTAGCCCTATTAATCAAAGGAATGCAATCAAATACCAAGTAATATAGTTTGATGTAAAAGCAGTTGTATATCCTTGAGAGAACAACAATCGAAAACTTGAGAAGTGCCAGTCCATATTATCCTAGGTTGTTAACATTGTTAGGTGTAAGGACGCCTCGTTCAGTCCCGACACTTACTTCGAAGCAAATAATCAATCCTTTTAAGGTGGACTTTTACTTGAAAATCGTGTGTTGCAGTTTTACGCAAGTCATGTGGCTGGACGTCTTGCAGTGACCACTAAGATTTCGCTGCTTGGTAAGCTGTGTTGCTTGAGTTATTCAGTATTTCGTAACCAAGTATCCCTCTGTCGATCTCGACAGTTCGCGTAACATATGTACGTCACTTCACAACCTTGTCGGCTTATTACTTCTAGCTGCTTTACCTCGCCAACAAGAATGATACACCTTATGCAGGTTAGTAAGATTAAACCTAGTCCTTGTATACTACTCCACTAGTTGGTCAACGCTAATACAAAAAATGTAGCGGAAACACCAAATTCAACCAGCTAAATCCCACAGGTTGCCTTTTTCAGTTGTTTTTCCAGGTATTTTTTACAAGTGATCAACCCGCCAGCTTCTGTACATTTGATATTCAATATATTATCTTCAATAAAGCATGTGTTCTTCCCATGTCTTAAAGTGCGTATCCGCTCTCCGTTGTTGGTGTGTAAGTGATGTAGTATAAACCGACCTACTTCCTCCATATTTGCTTTTCCGATCCCCCATCAATGGACGTAATATTCCACAGGTGGTTCGTAATGAGGCTGTAACAAGCGTTATTCTTAGTATCTTTCAAGCTCACTCAAAGATATTTCGGGATGCAAAACATTTAAACCCGAAGTTTTTATAAGCTAATTATAGGGTGGCTTGTATTCTATAAACTCGCGGAAGTTGACAAATGATTATTCGAAAGAACTATACGGGGGAAATACTTACGGTCACAATTGTAAGGATATATGACATACCTAGTGACAAGCGAAGTTACTCGATCTCGTTCGACAAACTGATTTATGGAACGTCGACCGTGCATCTTTAACGTGACCGGCGTCCATACTGAGGCGAGACCGCCGAGTTGTGCTTTGATTACGTGCGGATCTGTGACGCTTTTCAAATCATGAATAAGTAGGGGCTCGATGGTTTGGTTGTTCGATTATCGCACTGCAGAATAAACATGACAGAAGTTCAGTACCTTATAGCGAACGCAACGGTTAGGATAAAGTACAAGACATTTTCTATCAGATAAGTGGTATATAATACTAATTGTGATCTAGCGTGGGCTGCATGGTGCGAACTATTTCGTTGTGTAGGTTTATTGCATCCTGATAAGCTTCGAGAACATTCTCTATATTTCCTCGTGTAGTGTAAAATACAGGCAGGAATTTTTGACTCCCGACATCGGCTCGGTATCGAGCAACCAAGAATTCTGATTCCAGCTCGTGTATTAACCCAGGTATGATTATACTATGCGGGGGGTTTCCAAAGTCAAAACCCTTTTCCCCTGGGTTTAAGTAGGCTTCATTGATATCACTTATTGTTGAAACAACGATTTTCTGGTCATCACATCCTAATCGGGATAAGCAAATCACAATACAGGACGTCATAACGGCTGTATTTCCTTTGCTCCGCTGATCATCTGCTTTTCTATTACTGACGTCCACTATTTGGTGTACAGCTTCACAGCAGGACATAAAGCGGGAGGGTTCGTAGACTTTGCGGTCACGTAGGATGTTTTCCAAAGAACGCTCCTTTACCTAAGGGAGTAAGGAAATGTTGACCAGATAAGCAAATTAATGTCATATTAAGTGAAGCATCATATACTTACAACATTGTGTCTGAGTTACACATGTATTGCATGCCAAATTTGGCCACATTTCTGTTCGTGATTCAACTTAACGTTCAGAATCTGAACGTCTTGATTACGATAGAAGCGTGTTTTACACATTAATTAAAACAGAGAATTGTTCAAGAGAACGGTCTGGTCATTTTATCTGATAGACTTCAACTTAGCTTGGTCGCGACACTTCCAGAATTGGAACAATATGCACTCAGACTTTATGGTCAACATTCAAAGGAATTCTACGCGACCAAGTGGATTAGATCTTGGGGATTTCTCACCACGATTTTAGCTCGCTCTTTGTTACTGTGTTTGACATACAACACCTTATGTATTGTTGCATTACTTATTTATACTTAGATGAAACTTGTGGCGATGTTATATATTATTAGCAGTAACTTCGGTTGCACTGTGCATTTAAATAAATCCTATCGTGCATCGAAGTGAAATAAAATGTATTTAAGGACAACTAAGTAGTATATGTCAGGTTTTCTTATTTACTCGCCTACACAACAGGTGACGCAATTAGGCAGACTTCCTCAGATATCAGACTGTCAGGGCTGTTGAGACTTTCAAGACAAATGAAGCAGTCAACACCATGGTTAATTCAAATGGCACAGGCCAATCATGAAATAACATGAAGCATTGAAAGAGAGAGAATTCCATCTTGAATATGTCTGCATTATCCGCTTAACGTGGTCATAAGGTTGGATCCCTCGGCACCTTCACCAAACCGAACTACATCATATGCGTATCCTAAATCAGCAAATGGATCTCCTGACAAATCAAGTTAAACGGTCAGAGCGTTGTCTCCCAAAGAATTCCTATTAACATGTTAAATTAAGATTGAGAAGGAGGAGAACACTGACTAGCGCCACTTGAGGGGATTGATCTCGATGCCACTTCGTCATTAGATGTAACTCGACTAGTAGTGTTCGAGTTAATCCACTTCTCTGGTACATCTTTCAACGACGGATACTGCCACAGAACTTCACGATCAATAGAGTTCAACTACGCCTAAGACTCAGGGAATGTAACTACATTCAGATATCGGGAAGTATGTGTATGTCCCAGAACCTGCTGAAGGGTGAATATTTGGTCTGCACATCTACGTTTAGGTTTAGAACCAGCCTGTTTTCTTCGGGTTTGCTCTACATGAGCTCTAGTTTGGCGTCAAAGTATTGTTGAGGCTAGTATTTTCGACACCACATTAGTCAAGCGAATCCCTTTGTGACTGACACAAGAGGATTCCTGTTTTTATGGACTGAGACGGCAAGTGGTCGAGACCAGTCAGATAAGGTTATGTTCGGTTTTCATAAGCTAGCTGGAATCTTAGTACGACTGCAAAAACTTTACCACTATGCTTAAACATCTTGTGTTATTTAATCAAAACCTTATACCTATCGATTAGAGCTTTTTCAACTTCACTAAGAGATGGGGGACTCGTGTCAAGTTTCCATCCAGGGTGCATAAAGGTGGTGTGCAACAGCCAGTTGAAATGTTCCCCAAGGTGTTCTGCCCAGCATCTCAATCTACTGAGTGAACAATATTAATCCCAAAAAGATTTTCAGGAATACGTAAAGAAAAGAGGTCGAACTATACATTGTGAAGTCAGATAATTAGTCACAAAAAGGTAATTCATTACATGCTACTGTTGTTCATTAACTTACAGTATCTGGTTTACCCAAACAGTAGGTCAAGTAATCAAAGTTTAGACATCAAGTTAACAAAATACACTAGTTATCCACTCTCTAGAATATATATCGATGTAAAATCGTGACCTTAGGATTTAAGACTTCGTGAACAGATCAGCGCATATTACTACACTTAACAGCTACAGTTAAGTTTGACACTCCAGGATATCTTAGTGTAGTCGGTACGAAATGGCTGACGTCGGTCGTCTATTTGTTTGAACACAAACAATGGCACAAAGGAGTACCAACTATGTATGCGCCACACAATAAAAATGAGGTTTTGAAGAAATAGAGAGTGGAAGGCGAGTATAATAAAAAACCGCAACAATGAACAGAAATTATTGTATGACAGTGAAGCAGTAGTAATAATAATAGGGGGGAAGTTAATTTAAAAAACAAACAACAAGAAAGGATTCTTACAATTAGAGAGCTATTCCTGATAGTCTAAAGCCACTGTGTTGCACTATCTCTAGGACCTCAACCAGGAAGTCGCGCAAGACTAACAGAGGCTATTTCTGTATAGCTTTCTTTCACAGCAATTAGCTGACATCAATCCATTTAGGGCGATGAATTTGTTGGCCACTGAAATGTAAGATAAGGTTAGAGCAAACAATGCAATGATCAGTCAGGATAAGTACTTCAAAAGAAGTAGCAGTCTTGTATACAACCACGCCAGCGGTAGCTGGTCGCAATGTGATTAATCTGAGTCTATGTTTGAGATGGAGAGGGAGGACTCCAGGTACCACATCGGCGATAACTGCGACGATGGTTAGCACTAGCAAGAAACAGGTTGAAGTCTGTGCAAAGTTGCAGTAGACAGTCGCCGTTATCCGACTTGTGACCAACAAGTACTGACTGGCCACCCAAACGACTCTCCTGTACTAAGGCGCCTGGCCTGTCTATTTAAGTCTCCGGCTAGTACTACAATATCTGTCGATCACACTTTCTGTAGGACAACACTCGACTACTGTTAAAACCAATCCTCATCCGAGATGCAATGTGTCAGAGCGTAGACGAAGATCACAAAAAGACGTCGCTTTTCACACAGATTTTTCCTCAATTTGAGAGCAGTTTTTCTGTACTTGTGAAACCCGGCCTCTCCGAGTCGAGGATGTTGGACGACTCTCTGTTTGATCATCGTTGTCTCCGACGTATCGCTGACATCCAGTGGCAACACCTTATTAGCAATGCCGATGTTCGGCAACGTGTGCTCGAGCACAGTGACGACACTTCAGTTAGTGTCACCATCTTGAAACACCGAGGGATGTCGTCTGAGCGAATCCCACACCATACATTATTTTCCGACGCCGAGACCGGATGGAAGACGCGGAGAGGTGGTCAGTGCCCGATAGTGTTGTGACATGGAAGCTGTACAGGACTGGCTTCTGTTGGTCCTTCGCGACTTCCTGTTTGAAGTCTTAGAGATGGTGCAATACAGTGGCTTGAAACTATCGGGAATAGCTTAAAGCAGAAGCCAGTAGCCGATCCTGTTGTAACTATCTTCATAAAAGTGAAAGTGACTTCTCTAATTTTAAGAATCTTTTCTTGCTCCTATTATTATTATATTTACTACGTGATTGGTACCCCTTTGTACCAATGTTTATGTGTTCAATTAAGTAAATTTAAATGTAAACGACTCAGTTGCTTGACCATCGTCCGTCTATTTGGACAGAAGTGAAGTCACCAAAATGTGAGAGACTGGTTTATACCTCATTTTATTTGATCCAAAAAGCATTGTGAGAACTACTATGTATTATGTGAACACACTAGGCTAACAACCATGTGCTTTTTTCAGTTTTGCGAGATTAGCTGGATTCACCAAAACCGCAAGAAGTGAGCTCACGGAAAATCTGTTTAGAACAAATATGGGGGATCAAAAAAAGAATATAGTGGACTTATGTTAACGTGCGTGGTTATTGAGAAAAATGTGTGATGGATTGGTGATAAAATAGATTTGTTTATTTACAAAAAATCACTAATTTTGAAATTCAGTTTAAAAAGTCTTGAGTGTCTGACGAGCAGTTAAGAAGTGAGTATTATATGCAAATAGAGTTACTTTACCTTGATATCCAGCAAACAT